GGTTTATTCTGACAACTTCAACAAAGGGAGCATCTATAAGTGTCGATTTAACTGATGAAACAACACTTACATAAGCAAAATGGGACACAACATAAGCATTAGGATCAAACAACATAACAATCCCCCCAAGCACACATTCAAAAACCCAGCACAATGAATCAAAATCCAATTAAAATTAACAACTTTAAAATTATGCAATGAGAAAATACTAATAAAAGAAGCATTAATTATTCATGATCTAAAACCGAATTTAAATCAAATTAGAACAAAATGCTGTGCAGTATTATTTTTACCATTTCACATTAAATTAAACAAAAAATAAAAATAAACAATACAAGCTGTATCTCTCGACTTTTATCAGTGAAGGTTATATACAATAATTAGTTTTGAACTGTAAAGAAGTAAAGCTGTTGACTGCATAAAGCAAGAAGTATAAATATTATTATAGACAAAGTGAAGCCAGGATAAAGCATTAAGAGGTGTAAAAGCAAGCTAAGTGATTAACTTATATACTCTTACATGTAAGATATAAATCATGTAAAACACTGGAGTGAAGCAGTTTAAGCTTCAATAATTACCTTATTGTGTAGAAGTGGTGATAATATAGGATTAACACTGATTAAATACCTGGCATATAGCAGTGGTGATAATGTAGGGTTAAGACTGATTAAATACCTTGTTGTGTAGCACTGGCAGGGCCCATCAGAGAAGGGTTCCCCGTGACAAAGTAGGGTGCTGGATCAAGTAAAGGCCTGGGAAGGAAGAAAGGAAGAGGAAAAGAAAAAGGAAAGGAAGAAGAAGAAGAGAGAGATAGCAAAGTTAGTAATACTAAAAGGGATTGAAGATGAGGTTAGTGATGGTAGTGGTGGGATAAGGATGAGGAGGTAGAAAAGGGACATAGGTAAAAAAGTAGGATTAGATTTGGAAAACTTTGAAAGGGAAAAATTGTGCTACAACTTATCTTGTCAGAACAAAGAGTGGGATTTGACAGTTACTCTTATAATACACATGTGTCCAAAAAGTATGGGTTGAAATTTTTTTTGTCATTAACTAACTGGGTCAGCATCTTTGATGCAGCACTGCTGTTCCTAAGCCCAGATAAATGAGGTAGGTTGGACAAGAGGCTATTAGCCCCTCTCCATGAAACAGTTACTACTGCGGAAACCATCAAGAACAATAATGCTTTCTATCTGGTGTGCGGAGCAGACGACAGACATGAGAAAAATTATGTCTGTATGACAGCAGGTGAGTAAAGCCACAAGGAAGTCTCCTGCTTAAAAAAATCAAATCCTCCATGCCAAAAGTATCACTTACATTGGCACATGGAATGTGAGGATGCTATGCAGTGTTGGTAAACTGGCAAATGTCATCAAGGAAATGGATGAATATGGATTGAATATGAAACAAGATGGACAGGAAATGACAAATTAGTACAGAAGATAAAACATTCATATACTCTGGAGGGAGTGAAAGGCATGATTATGGTGTAGGAATACTGTTGAGGAAAGAAGTTTCAAATGCACTGGTTAGCTGAGAACCTGGTCTGAGAGAATTTCAATCACAACATGCAAACACCACGATAATTCAACTATATGCTCCAACAAATAATGCTGAAGAAGGTTCAAAAGATGCATTTTACAACAGATTGAGTGACGTGGGGTACCAAGGCATGACGTGGTAATACTTATGGATAATTTCAATGCTCAGGTGTCTAATAGATGAGAGGGCTTTGAAGATATTATTGGTCCCTCTGGGTGTGGACAACTGAATAACAATGGCACCAGAATGTTGGAATTTCGTCAAAATAAGCAGATTAAAATCACTAACACCTTTTTTTTAAGCACAAGAGAATACATAAATACACATAGAAGTCTCCTGATGGCAATACTAACAATGAAATAGATTACATTTGCATATGCAGGTGGTTTGTCTCATCCATGCTTGACACAAGGGTGTACAGAGGAGCAGATATTGGCTCAGATCACTACATGGTGAACGCAAAAGTAATGTTGCAGTTCAAGAAGTTAAACAAAAAGCATGATGCAATAATGCTGTTTTGTGTAAAAACCTTAAAAACGAAAATTTACGAAACCAATATCAATAGGAGCTCCAAAACAGGTTTGAAGTATTATCAAACAAAGAAGAAAATCAAGGAGTGAAAGAGCAGTGGAATACATTCAAAGAAGTGGTGAAGAGAAGTGCTGAAGTCACTATTATTAAAAGAAGAAGAGGCACATTGAAGGAACAATGGATATCACAGGACAAATGGAAACTAAATGATCAAAGAAAAGCCATACAAAAGGAAAAGAGTCCAGGCCGATGCAGATGATAGGTAAAGGGCAAATATAAAGTACATGATAAAGAAGTGAAGAAAGTTGTAGAAAGGACTAGCAAAACTGGATGAAGCAGAAGCAGCAGTGTTGAAAAATGACACAAGAACAACCTTCAGGATAATAAACCAATTTTCTGACAAAAGGTTTGGTGGGAGAAACATACCTATCAAAAATAAAAGAATGAATATAACAAAAATGGAAGAAACTGCACAACGATGGGTTCAATACTTTAAAGAGTAATTGAATCAATAAAACAACATTATTGAGGAACAAAATGTTGTTGCCAATAATGAGGAGGACAACATAACTATAAATACTGGTGGATTAACAGAGAAGAAACTAGCTAAAACTATTCAAAAATTGAAGAACAACAAAGCAACCAAAATCGATGTGATATATCCAGACATGCCCTAATCACCAGGTCACGCCAGGCCCCATGAGTATGCTTTCACTTATAGGAAGGTGGGAACGAAGGGCTGAAATAAAATCTCAAACAGAGAAGTAAAATCACATGAAAAATGGACAGTGAATAATTATATTACCAATGGATAATAAATACTTCCTTAGGCAAATATAAATTTATGCTTTGGAATGAATAGAAAAATTC